AAGACTATACTAGAGTAGATGGTTTATATTTAGGCTTGGAATCATCAAGATAGTGCTGATAAACATAAGAGAGGAATCCCCATAGCGCAAGGAGCAAAGCAATGACCTTAACTCCATCCATCTTATCACCAAACAATATGACAGCCAGAACAGGAACAATAGGCAAACCAATTGTACTAATGACGTTGGAGAACAAAGAAGAAACCTCAAATACTAATCCCAACAACCCAACAGAAAATATCTGCCAAGACAAAGCAGTCCAAACCAAACTCATCACATATGAAACTTTCCCCTTCCCAAAACCATCCATCTCCCCCTTCAAACTCTTCCATTCCCCGCTGCCGAAAAGCCCAACCACGCAGCAGCAAGTCGCGATGAATGATGGGTAAACTTGCATGTCCAAGACCACATCAAACGTTTCCCTCTTGATCACCTTCTTGAACGACAGTTCCTGTTAAACATAAATCATCACATATGAAGTAGTACTAAATAGATATAGTGATCTGAAACAACATGTATGCAGCCTTAGGCCACAAATCTAGCTACAATACATATTAAGCAAATACTTCTCTAGAATATAAAAACCATATCTGAGTAATACCCATAATAAACAATCTTTTATTTTTAGTCAACTCAATCAAGATCTCAAGGTTTACATGTTATGAATGATAACTTATGTTCTTTACAGCATGAATTTGTTAGAATATAATGTTTTAACTTCAACTTATTTCCGCAAGAGACATATCATACGGAGTATTATACTTAGTATTAGACTTTATATGACTTGACAAAATATCTATTCCTAGAAGACCAAATCATTTCTCATTAGATCAGGTCATATTAAAAAAAATTAGTCTAAGTGAATAAACATTGTTAGCTTATTTAGTTTAATTTCTAAAGTGCTTGATTTTATAAGGTTTTACATGCATATTGAATTTGACTCTTTAACTTTTAACATTTATAATTTTTTAGTTGCACGTTTTGCATTAAAAAAATTATAGAATATAGAAGGGAAAGTTCTCAAAATAGGAGTAAAAACAATTACATTTTTTAAATTAGGAGTATTGTATTTTTACCTAAATATGAGTAATTTACTTTCATGCTTAAATTTTATTATCAAATTTTTGCATGGCCAAGCTTTAAATGTGACAGTATAGTGGGCGTAATTGACGGTATTTTTCAAATATGACAGTAATTACTTCTATTTAAGGAATAAAAACGGTGTGCTCTTAGGGTATGTTTAGCACCACTAGCTGAAAAGATACTTTTATAAGCTTTTTAGTAACTGTTAGCTTTTAGTGACTGAAAAGATCTTAAAAAGAAAAGATGGTAGCTGTTTGGTGAAAAGCTGAGCATTTGATTTACAAGCTGTTAGGACTAAGGGTATGTTTGGCACAACTAGCTGAAAAGATACTTTTGTGAGCTTTTTAGTAACTGTTAGCTTTTAGTGACTGAAAAGATCTTAAAAAGAAAAGGTGATAGCTGTTTGGTAAAAAGCTGACTGTTTGATTTAGTTCGGTTTGGTATACAAGCTGTTAGGACTAATTAATACTAAAAGTCACGAGCTTTTCTCAGATGCTACACCCGGTAGCATCTCAAAAAAGATCTTTTAATTTTTGAAAACCTCTTAAAAAATGTCATGCCAAACATTCAACTAGAGTCTTTTAAGGTCTTTTTAAAGAAAAGAGAAGCTAGAAGGCAAAGACTTATGTGTGCCAAACATGGCCTAATTAAAGCTAAAAGTCACGGGCTTTTCTCAGATGCTACTCCCTGTAGGCTGTAGCATCTCAAAAAAGATCTTTTAATTTTCGAAAAGCTCTTAAAAATTGTCATGTCAAACATACTACAAGAAGCTTTTAGAAACTTTTTAAACAGTACAAAAGTTAGAAGGCAGAGACTTATATCTGCCAAACATGCACTTTTGAATTGACTTTGGCTTTTTTATTATGTCGAATGGCTAGTTTTAGTGTTTGGGAAACGATTTTTACAATTGGTTATTTGATGCAAAAAGGTAAAAAAGACATTTTTTTCTATCGGCTAAGGGTATGTTTGGCAGAACCAGCTAAAAAGATACTTTTACGAGCTTTTTAGTAACTGTTAGCTTTTAGTGACTGAAAAGATCTTAAAAAGAAAAGGTGATAGCTGTTTGGTAAAAAGCTGACTGTTTGATTTAGTTCGGTTTGGTATACAAGTTGTTAGGACTAATTTAAACTAAAAGTCACGAGCTTTTCTCAGATGCTACACCTGATAGTATCTCAAAAAAGATCTTTTAATTTTTGAAAAGCTCTTAAAAAATGTCATGCCAAACATACAACTAGAATCTTTTAAGGTCTTTTTAAAGAATAAAGAAGCTAGAAGCTAGAGTCTTTTGTGTGCCAAACATAGCCTAACAGCCGACTTATGTAAGGTATCGATGAAACATAATACCTCATATATGGCAAGCACCCGTTTTACTCCAATTTATGGCAATTTCTTAGCATATAATTTGAAAAATGGACCATATAAGGTATCGATGAAACATAATACCTCCTTATATGGCAATTTACTACATGCGATGCACGGCCGAAATAAAGAACCTTGTATTAATTAAAACAAAAATACCAAAATCCAAAATGATACATCAAAACTTTTACAATGAACATTTCATGGACAACAAACAAAATCGTGTTATTTAACATAAGATAACATGAAACAATTTACATATTTTGAAAGAGTAGTTGTAAATGTAAAAATGTAATACGGAGTATACCATATTACCATGACACTTTAGAAAATTAAAATCTATAATTGTAATAAACATATAACATGAAAGTAATTAAAAGAAGTAGATAAGTTAGCCGGAATTGTGATACTCGACATTTAATGAGTAAAAAAGAAAAATTTGAGTAAAAGTATAAGTAAAGAAAACAAATTATTTCCTAAAATGGAATGAAAACCTTTAAATGGACACTTAATTAAAGAACCTTCTAAGGGAAAGATAGAGTACATAGAAGTGTTCCTCCAAGTAATAAAAAGGACCATATAAGTCAATGTTATTGCCAAGATACATATCCTTATATTGAGATGCATTTTGACTAAATGCTTCTCATACATTTTCAATGCAATGCACTCCATTATTTAATACAGGTTGTACCAAACCTCCTATGATTTGGAAATTCGGCGCATTAGCCCCTGTGATTTAAAAAATGCGTCAAACTCCCATGTGTTTTAATTAATCATGCGTCAAATCCCTTATGCGAACAAATTCAATTGTCAAACAAAAGAAAAATGATTAACATTTTTGTATGATTCAGATATTTTGACATATTTATTTGCATATTTAATCAAAATATTAGGAAAAGTGATTTTCAAATCGTTAAATTTATTCATAAAGGGGGTTCTGTGCATGATTAATTAAAACACAAGTGGGTTTGACGCATTTTTTAAATCACAGGGGGCTCATGCGCCGAATTTCCAAATCACGTGGGGGTTTGATGCATTAAACCCTATTTAATACTACGTAAATACGTAGTACTTCGTATATAACAAAGATCAATAATGACAGGTTTTGTAGTTGGAAAATGATGTTTGTGAAGTTATTTTTTTTGTCTGTGAAGGAATTCAAAGACATATTTTGTCTGTGAACCGGCTTCACAGACAAAAAAATAGTCTTCACAGAGGTGGGTATAAGGTGGGTACAACAAGCATGATTGTTTGTAGTTTAATATATACTCCGTACACAATATGCATTAAATTCTTAGACATTATATATACAAAATTTTCGGTAGAATAAGGATGTTTTCTTTTGGACTGTTTTCAGTCCTAGACCAGACCAGACCATACCAGACCAGACCAGACCAGATCAGACCAGACTAGACTTAAACAGACCAGACCAGACTTGGATAGTTATAAAATATACAAAGACCAGACGTTTACCAGACCAGACCAGACCAGTTCAGATCAGACCAGATCAGACCAGACCAGCAAATTTCAGTCCAAAAGAAAACATCCTAATACGGAGTATACAACATGCAAATGATTTGCAGCAAATCTAGCAATGATTTGCAGCAAATCTAGTGCGCAAATCTGATGATTTTTTAATTATATAATAATAATTTTGGTTAATACGAAGTAATATTTATCTCTTCTACCCAAAGTTTAGACATTAGTATGTAATTTTTTTATTCTATATCTATCGAATCAAGTTTAGTCGATCAACTATTATGGGAGGGACTGAGAGAGGAGTAATAAGTATACCGTATACTATACGTATAAATATTCCATCCGTCTCGGTTAAATTTTTACATTTTGATTAACAATGTTTGAGTGATAAGTTTAGGATTAGTGGGTTAAGATAGAACTAAAATTTACATGTCTCTATACGAAAGTGAAAACTGAATTATGTAAAACACTCTTGTTAAAATACCTGTTGTCACAAAAAAAAAACTTACACAAAAAGTGTATGTGTATCCCAGTCCAACTCACCAAAGATAATACGTAATCAGTAATCTGTACTATATAAAATTAGACATTAATTAAAGTGAAGCTAATTGATAGGAAATGAATGTTGTTCAGGTGATGTTCAGTTTACTTTATTCTTATTCCTCAAAGATTGTTTTTATTCTAATCAAATAAGATGAGAAACATTACATAAATGAGATAAATATTGTTCAGTTCAAGTCTTAAAATTAAGAGCCTCTTTGGTATCACCAATTTTCGGTTCATCAACCAATTTTGTACTACGTACTACACATATAACTTTTGATTTTGCACGTTGAATAATATAATAATCAAAAGTTGCTCAAATGTACTATTCTAGCAACTTTTTATAATTTTTTATTAAGTTACTACGATTATTTTAAACATGTTTTTCATAAAATTTCACTGCATATTTCCATTAAAACTTGGGAAAATAACTTCAAATAATACCAACTATCGTTCATCAACCAATAATAATACATACTTTGAAAATGATTTTTAATAATACCAACTATTTGAATATAAAACAAAAATAATATGGAGTCACTTTTCAACAAGAATTTCAATCATTTAAAACATCAAAAAGTAATAGCAACAAATCAAATAAATAATATTCGGAAATACAATCACTTATTTGATATTTTAATATTATTTTTTGGTGAATTAAATGACTGAATTTTTAGTGAAAGATGTTCTACATTGTGGATCGTTGCGCTTACCGCTACACTAAAAGCAATCGCTGATAGTGTAGCACGCTCCTCCCCCTTTATAGCACATGTGAAGCGCCACGCGGTTCGATTACACCGGCAGGCTGGCTGTTGCTGACGTCGCATACCCGCGGCCCAACATACATTACTTTTGGTCTATATTTACATAGTTGGTATTATTAAAAGTTACGGACTATTTTCAAAGTACGTATTATTCTTGTTCTTGGAAGATAGTTTGTGTTATTTAAAGTAATTTCTCTTTAAAATTTTGTCATCTTTATATCTATTGGTTAAATATATTCAATTTTGACTAATTATTTACTTTTACAGGGAATTAATTATAACATAAATATGACATGAAAATGTTACTCCGTATTTGTTAAAAATACTACTCCGTCCGTATACAAAAAATATAAAATTTTTAACTTTCAAAATATTATGTGGATGAAATCATGGGTTAAACTTCATCATTTTTAAGGGAATTGAAGAGTTTGTAGATTTCTGAGATTCAAACTAGTAATCAAAGTGGGGCTTATGTAGAGATGTCAGAGTATGTGACTATAAAGTACAGGGAGTAGCCAGCAGAGGCGCCGACCGTACACAAGATGCCCACCACGTACTTCCCCTTCGGGATTCTGGACGCCGTGGTGTCGTCGGAGTGGACGGCGAGGAGGGCGGCGGAGACGGTGACGAGGACGACGGAGTTGAGCACCAAGGGGGTGAACCTCTGGGCATTGATAAGGAAAGAGAACAGGACATTGAAGGCTAGCTGAGTGGCGCAGAGGAGGGAATAGGTTGAGACAGGGAGGAAGAGGAGGCCGTAGGAGTACATCAGGCAGGTGGCGGCGGAGAAAGCGCCGAAGAACACGTAAATGGATGGCAGCAGCATCCTCGTACAGGAAAACAACCTCGTACTAGTTGCAGTACGAGTCGTGCTGCAACTAGTTTGAGGTTGTTGTCCTGTTCTTGATGATGAGGAGAAGGAGAAGAAGCAGAGCGGGAGAAAGGCCGGGAAGCCGGCGGATTGAACCAGCGTCGCCGTCCACATGCTGTTCCCTCCTTTGTCGTAGTAAAACCGCCCTAGCAGCGTGCCGGCGGATTCGCCGGCGATCAGAAAGATGATGTACAGCCCGATCCTGACCCACCATGTATATCCTCTGTTCTTTCTTGGTGATGGCAGCTGCAGTTGATTATTTGCAGAATCATTGCCTTACCCAAAAAAGAAAAAACAAATTAAAGAAGATCAATATCCTTCATATGATTAAGAACAACAAATTAAAACTATCATATGTCATATATTTGACTTCGCAATATAAAGAACAAGAATTAACCTTGGTTCTGAAGTTCAACTTCTTGAGAGGTATTCATGAAATTATGCTGCAATGGCAGAGCTATGTAAGAGAGCAATTGCTTTTGTACACAGCTCAAACTCATACACACTTTGTGTATGACAATTTGTTAGACCCTAGATTTTGATAAACTGTTTTGATGATGCCAAAAGCTTTTGTTATCTCCCCTCTATTGTAGCATTATTATAGGTTTGGAAAAAGTAGTAGTCTTGGTTATCCTCTGCTGTAGCATCTTGAAATTGACTAGTACTAAGTAAATTATCTAGATGTGTCTTGCTCTTATTGTAGTTAACAAATAAATATAACTGGAAAAACATGAAATACAATAAGGCAATACTTTATTGCCTTAAAAGGATATCATATAAATCCAACCAGTTAAATCTATTTGTTTAAAGAAATGTGAACAACTAACTGGAACACAAAATGCAACAAGGTAATAACTTTTACCTTAATATGATTTGTTATCCTACCAGTTAAGTTGTACACAATACCTACTAAACTTCACAAACTCTAAAAGTGACAAAAACACCAATGTAAAAACTATGTACCAAATTAAACATACTGGAATTATAAAATGCAATAAGGTAAATTCTTTTTTACCTTACATGGATATTTAAATCCAACCAGTATAGTTTTATTTGGTACATAAGTTTAATCATGTCACTTTAGAAAAAAAGTGATTAATAAAATAAGTGACAAATTTTATTGTAAAATTTGTACCAAATAAATTGTACTGGAAAGAACAAAATGCAATAAGGTAATTTTATTACCTTAATAGGATATTTAAAAGATCCTACCAGTACAAAATTTATTTGTTACAAAATATTCTAAGTCACACATTTTACTACTTCACTACACAAATTGAGCAGGTTCACACACTTTACTATACGAGTGTAGTTGCAAGACAAAGCCAAGACCTAATGGCAGGTGAACAGTGAAGAAAAGGTCTAAGGTATGGGTTGACATTTCGTACGAAGCAAGTTGGCCCTCAAGCAGCACCAAAGACAATTCCTTATCCTGCTCCAACACAAGAAGACGCAAGTACAATACTTTGGACGTCTAGGATTAAATCCTCACAACCAACTGAGGAAATTAATCTACTGGAGATGCCTATAAAAATAGGCAGAAGCATGAGTTCAAAAATAAGTCATCGAGTTCAAAGCAAGTGGTTCAGTCATTACACTACGAATATCCAGCAAAAGGAAAAAGTGCTTGAACACTCTGCTTTGACTCATGCTTCACTAAGCTCTTAGACTAGATCATTCATTGTAACATTTATAGAGCTTAGGTTTTAGTTGGCGGTTAGAAACTTCGTGAATCAATTCATGTTGTTGTAAACACTTAGGAGAACAGTTGTTCGGATCCTATAGTGTGGTTAGATAGATAGAGTACCTTTTGATCCCCACTGGATCAATCGAGAAAAGTCTAAGGTTTGAGTAACTTGGAGTGGTGTTATACTCCTCGTGAAACGCCTTCAATCTAGGCCAGAGTTGTCAAGGCTAGATTGGCACTAATTGTATTGGGCTGAATACTTTAGTGGAAATCCATCTGAAATAGGGTGGGACTGGATGCAGGAGGATTACACCACCTCTGAACCAGGATATATTGTGTGTTGATTTACTTTCATACATGCAGAGCACACACCAAACACATCTCACTAAAGGATTGTAGTTTGCCAGCAGCATCCTAAGCAGTAGTCTTCATCGACTCTACTGCTTAGCCTACTGCTTAATAACTCACTCTCCTTGAGAGTGTTTTCCACTAGAAGCTGTCTTAAACTCAGAAGGTGCCTCAGCAGTACCCTGGTCTTCACCCTCCTGCTGAGCCCACTGCCCATCCATATGTGTCTTTCCAAACGCCATAACAAGCCAGAACAAAAAGCCATCCAAGAGTCATCCTACAGTTGCCTCAGCAGTAACCTGCCTACCAGCCGACTGCCAACTCAGCAGTTGCCTGCCAGTCAGCAAACTGCCTGTACAACAGTAACCTAAGCAGATACCTGCTCACCAGTCTACTGCCAAGCCTACTTCCTCTTGTAATCAGTCTAAACATCATCTAAACTAGAAAGTTATCTCACACTAAGTATAAAGAGGTTAAAAGACTTCCGCTGTGCATCTATTAATCTCTCAAAAGATTATAGATCAACTCATCTAGAGGGAAAAGTGTTCCAAAGTTGAAAAAGATTTAAAAGTCTATTCACCCCCCCCCCCCCCCCCTCTAGACTTTTACCTCTATCCGGGACCATCAAGTGGTATCAGAGCCGAGTGTTCCTAGAGTCAGTTTCTGACTAATTTGAACTAAAGATCCAAGTCCACTTTTTATCCCAAAACTTTCTAAATGATGGATGAACAACAAGCAAAGAATCTGTTGATCAACAACAACAAATCCAATGACTGGAAAACAAAGGATGTATGGGATAAACTCATGAAGAGTCAATCAGAAGATGATCAAAGCAACTCAAATGAAGAAAGCTGCTCATCAAAAAGGCAGAAGGATGCTATTACTTGCCTATTTGGAATGTTCCCAGAAAATAGCTCCTCTCACAACTATGATATGGCCAGATCTTATGAAGGTGACAATGATGAGGTATTATCCTGTTCTTCAAACGATTCATATGATTCCAACTCTTCCAGTGTTGATATGGAGACATTGCTCCATCAATTTGAAAACTTCCAAAAAGAGCACCTTAGCTTAATGAATGAAAACTGTAGACTTCAAGAAAATCTTTTAGTAACTCATGCACAGTTGGGTGAAGTAATCAAAAAGATAGATTTTCTTGAATGTGAAAACATCAGTTTGAAAGAAAAGCTAAGCTCCCTCACTCCCCCACTCACTAAGGAAGTTCAACACACTGAAAAAGACACAGGATACACATCATGTTCCCACTCATTGAAAAACTCTCCCAAATACTCTTCTACCACAAAACATACTTTCAAAGAAGACACAAAGTCTCTTAGCCACCAACACTCCCACATCCAAACAGTTCCCACAAGAAGGAACATGTCTGCTCCCAAACCAAAATCAAAATCCCTGTACAAACAGAAACTTCCTTTCAAACAATAAAACCAAAGAACCAGTTGGCAAAACACCAATAAGACCAACTACCCACCTAAGAAGCAGCTAAATCAACCTAGAAAAAATCACTCTTATCCTACACACAGGAGAGAGATGATAAACACATACACAGCCACCCCATCTGAATGCAACACTTCAAAAGGCTGTAGATCACACTGCTTAGGGGGAAATAGTTCTAAATGGGTATGGATGCCCAAATATGTTCAAAGGAAGTTGCCCACTCCAATATGGGCTACTACCACTCAACATTGATAAATACAGGAAGGTGCTGGAGCAACTGACTCAACAGAATAGTACATACATTCTAGTTGCTTCAGGCACATGACAAAGAGCAGAAGGCCACTGACAAACTGTTCAAAGGAAGAACCCAAAGAAACACTTGTATAAGAGGAAAAGAGAAGAAGATATCAAAGGAGTTGGAGATTCAATCAAATGAAGAACTCACAAACCAATACACTCCTTGTGTTAAGGTTTTAAAGTTCAATCAAATGCACAAGCCAACTCCAGATCAACTGTTACATCTTCCTCAAGAGATGTAACTGTGCTTAAAGAAAGATGAAGGAAGGACCATCCAGGTGATGGAAGAAGAAAAGCTGAGACCATTTCAAAAAGGGTGACTCAGATGCCAGACTACTGCTAGCAGAAGACTCAGACTGAGACAACTGCCAGCAGTAGGATCAGATCAAAATCCAAACTTCCCTACATTTCCATCTCCCAAAACAACCAACCAATCAAAAGGACCAACTACATTCCAAAGAAAAAGCTGATCACTAAAAATACACATATTCCTTCCCCTATAAGGAATAATGTTCATCAAAATATAGCCAATCCTCATTATGGCTGTAGATCTATCAACTCAGATCAAAATGGCCCTAAATTGATATGGATACCCAAAAGCATTCAAAGGAAGATGCCCACGAAATAGTGGGCTGATACTCAAAACTGACAAAAACGGGAAGGTGCTGGAGGAGCCAACCTGCAGGAATAATTTTCAAGCTGCTCCATGCACATGATAGGTAGCAGGGGGCTACTGTCAAGCTATTAAATCTGGAGAAGGACCCAAAACAACAGTTGGGAATGCGGAAGAGAAAGGAGAAACAAAAGGAGCTAGAAAATCCAATCAAATGCAAACGTTCAATCCAGAACATATCATATGGGATTGAAGTTCAATCTTATGAAAGCACAAGCCAGCTCCGCGATACCATTTACAATGTGACGTTCTCCATGGACATCTTCTTGATCAGAAATGTCCAAAACAACAAAGTTGTGTTAACTGGTAGAAGGAAGAAGAAGAAGCATGGTATTGATTGGAGCATACAAAAGAAGGAATCTGCTCTTTAACTAAAAGCAGATTTAAACATAAGTTGAGAATGGCGCCACATCATTAGCCATCACAAGCTCAAAATCATCAAGCGGCATCTCCATCTCAATGACTTAACCATCAACAAGTGATTGAGTAAGCCATGCAAAATATTCATGAAGGGATTCTTCCTGGAAGGATACTGGAAAGGCTCCAAGCTGCCTTCCCAGCTGTATTAACAAAAGATGACAGGATTCTGGAAACAGAGGTTGAATCAAATGGCAGCCAACTGCCAGCAAGTAGCTTGAATTGCAGATCACTACCAGCAGTTGACTCAAAGATTCAGGACTCTGTCAACAGTTGACTCAAACAGCAGCCCACTGCCAACAGTTCACTTAAACGTCAGACTACGGCCAACAGGTGTGTCACCAACAAACAACCTTCCGGGCACCTATGACATTCCTAATCACACTATTCTACCAGAAGATAGTGAAGAAGAAAAAGAGGAGGATAACCAACAGCTTCAAACCAAAAACAACCACATCTGACATTAGATGGTTGAACAAACATCCTCCTCACCAAATCATTAGAAACATCCATGAAGGGGTTTGTACCAGATCAGCAACTCATAGAGAAGCACTATTCTCATGCTTCATATCTCCCAATCTGAACCCAAGAAAATTGAAGAAGCCCTACTTGACTCTGACTGGATACAAGCCATGCAAGAAGAACTCAACCAGTTTGAAAGAAATAATGTATGGGA